GAGAGACATAGCAGCTTAAATATACACCCCTAGTATGAGTCATGCTCTTAATTCGTGGATGTACTAGTTTTTCAAGCATTTGGTCTCAATTAAGCTCATTGTGTTTCAGTTTCTGTCTCTCTACATCAAACAGAGGTTTTAACACGCTTCGTTTTTATTTGTCAGATTGATTGAGCAATTGATGTCGGGGTATAAACATGGGAGAGGCCCTTTATTGGTCACAGACATTCATCCTGTGTGTAGGGTTTTAAGGAACTCTAACGGCTTCTGAGCCTGTTCAAAGTGCCACAGCGTTTCCTTTGTAGCAGCAGGCTGTCCTGCCCTGCAGCAGGAAGTGAGCGCTGATTCAATTTGCGTGTTACTATTCATATTTCGTAAACACCAGAGGTGCATGCATAAACATATAAGCTCAGCGTCCTGCGCACACATACGTCACTGCACCACATGCAGCTACACCTATGGTTTTATCCTGAAAGGTTTTCCTTCAACACAGCTTAGAATCATTTCTGTTTTGAGTCAACGTACAACACTGCATTTCCCCTCGGTGATTAAACCCTTGCTGCTCGCCCATGTGTACACCCTTGTGTTTTAGCTTTAGTGATAAATGAAATCTGTCTGACACTTCTGCGTGAGTATAAAACGCCAACCACCGAGTTAGAAAAAGCAGCCATAAGTACACGCTGAGGGCAGATGTTTAGTCTGTGCTTCTCGCCATTATTATTATATCAATCACTATTTTGTCTGCCAACAGTAATCACAGCTAAGTGTGTTGAAGAGCTGAGGCAGAGACATTAAAGAAAGTGGCCTGTTTTTTCAATCCTAAACCTTTGGCCATAAATACAGCTGTGTCACCGTGCAAAGCATAAAAGATGACAACGCACAGGAGGATAAACGGGTACTTCCACATGTGCGCCTGCTTTTAAATCTCGCCTACAAACACTTGCGCGCCGTTCACCTGTAAGCACATAAACACAAGCGCCCCATACACATGCATTTCCAAAAGGTACAGCCTCACCCGGTCACCGGTGGATTATGTGACGGTTACCATGATGATGGATGAGAATACACATGAGGCCAGGTGGTCACTTCCACATATCACTCCAGAGGCGTAACCCATTCCTAGATTTCACCATCTGTGACTTGCAGAGCGCTGGTCCGGCCTGGGTTTCCCATTAACCTATAACTAAGAAATATGCCCCGAGAGCCGAATCACAGGAAGCGAGGAAAACCGAAAATAGTGGCTGCGTAGCTTCATTGATAGCTGTGGATGACACACTGCGGTCTCTGGCATTATATTTGGCAGCGAGAGGATGTATTTACCACACTTTGGTGCCACAGACGCTCATGCGAGGAGTGCACCTACTTAGCGCCTCACCTGAGGGTTCGCAGCGCTCGGTCGGAGCGACGTGAGGAAATAATGGGCTGTAACAGAATATATACAGACTTATTTCCACTTATCTACAGACATATGTTAAAAGTGGTTACGAGTGCGAGTTCACACGCGTGAAGGTGTGCACAGTGGGGTTTTCTACTGTAATGCTCGCACTCAGCAGAAACACAGCTAAGCCAACCATAACACACCTGGCTCGCAGTCAGAAAAGGCTTGATTCTCTCTCAGCTCGTTCATCTGTGGCTAACAGCGACTTCCTCTCTCTGCGTGGTATCACACACATTGAAACCTGAGCTCCGCAAACTGCAGAAACAGGCTAGGCGTCTGATTTTTTTCCCTACCTACCCATTCAAGTTATATCTAACTGTTAAAGTGTTGCTACCTGCATTCAAATTCTGACTGATGTCTCTGTAGTGTGTGTGTGTGTGTGTGTGTGTGTGCACTTACTGGCCATATGATAGCCACCTGTGTAAACGGCTGGAGTATATCATGACTCCGAAACACTGGATCCTCAGAGTGCTCCGTCTGTTGCTGCGGGAGACTAGAGACATGACCTCTCTTTAGCAGGGGGGAGCCCTGCAGGCGGTCAGCGGCAGACATACACTAATATACACATAGTTTCATGCATAAATGCATGCGTGCATACTCACCCAGTTAAGTCTATCGTGCTTCTAATCTCATTATTTCCTTCTCTCTTTGCTCTCTTGCATCCTAACATATTGCAGCTCATAGCTAGAGAGCGCCGCATGGAGACGAAAACAGTGTGTGTGTGTTTACTGTGTGCTGCATGGGAGGTGTATGTGTGTCTGTGCAGGTCAAACAGGAGGTGAGAAAGGCTTCTGTTGAACAGGGTGCATATTGACACAGCATTACCATGAATGAAAATATTTTCTGTGGTCAGCGAGCATGAAAGGAACGCCGCCAGACATTTGGACGTGGCCTTTTCAAACAAAGGTTAGACATCAGCGCTCAGTCGAACGCACGTTCACACACTCAGGCGTCATAAAACAGCAACTAAAGGAGGAGGGCATTTAGTTATGTGTCAGGATACAGGACCATGAATTGAAGCCAGTCGTATTGCGGAGCCGGTAACTCCGCAGTGCACTACGCTACTGAATAAAAATTCCAGGTATTGGTGGAATCCCAGGGACACAAAGTAAGAGGACGGAATTTCAATGGAGGTGGTAAGAAAGTGATGGTACGGCTGCTTGTGTTATTATGTGCAGGAGCGCTGCATGGGAGGGCCCTCGGTGCAAGCCGCTAGTGCAACCAGAATCATACTAATGGAAACATCAAGGGCTGAAATTACACACACAAATCAAGAAAAGGGGAAGTAAGCGGAAACAGACTGAAGGAGGAGAGTAAGAGAGAAAAAAAAGGAGTGGAGATGAGGGCAATAGAGCTTTTATTGTTTCTGGTCTGAGGCATATTTCTGACTGATTACTGCTATTAGATGGGGTGAAGGAATTAGAGGCCCATTTAGTCACTGAGGGGCCAATGTGAGCGAGGGAATGCGGTGCCCACCGGTCTGTGTGCATTAGTGTCTTTAAATGGCTATTAATCTAGAGGCAGCGGCTTAAACCATCGGAAACGAAAAATCTTCCGGAAGGAGCTTTCATCAGGATGCGAAAGCTAAAATATGCTCTTACATTAGCGGCCGCGTTGGAACTGATGAAACTGCGTGTCACAGTCGGCCTGATAGCGTCAGCTCCAGGGGAGTTGACGTTGAACAGTTGTCTCACTCTCAACAACAGATGAGAGTCTATAATTGCACCAGGCAGTGGAATAACAGAGATAGTGTACGTTACGAGACCTCCACACACACACAATGTCCTTCTGTTCTGGCAGGGAACAGGTGCAACGTGGGAGTTGCAGTCATCAGATCCCAGGGTGGTGCAGGGGGGGGCGTGGGGGTGGAGGGTGCAGCTGCTACAACCTAATGCAATTATTTCCAAATCTATATTACTGTATGTGTCCTAAATTATAAGCTTGCCATTTGTTGACACAGTCATACTACGCATCACTCCCCATTCACTCATTCACTCCCCTTATAATTCCCATTCCATTCATTCAGCTGCATTTGTTTGCTTTGTGTTTGGTGCAGTTTTGCTTTTGCTGTTAATCAATGCAGAGATTTCAATTATGAATGAAGACTGCCACTGGGAAATGTTCTCATTAAATCCTTGTTGTGCAAATTAATCCGCAATTTAAAGCAGACTCATATGTGAAGACAATAAAAAAACGAGAACTTTTCTTTACTCTGCAGGCTGATGGAATGCTTCAGCGTGGATCGGCATGACTTAATGTCAACACAGGCCAAAAGAAAGAGACAGATATAGAGAAAAACAGATGTATGAGCTTTACGGGAGGCAGAAGTCGCTCGACTCCAGTAAATCGACGTCGCTGGGGCTTTCTTCTGAGTCACGCTGTGCATGCTTTTCTGTGTGTGTGTGTGTGTTTAAATGTGCGTTTGCTAATCAGGATCAGAAAACTGCGGCCCTCGAGACAAAACAGAAGGCTACATGGACACAGGACGAAACTGCATACCAATGAGTTCCACATTAATATTTTACACAATGCTGACAATACCTGAATACCTGTAGTCAGAAACACAAACACTGCAGGAAGCAGAAACAGATACTAACTCATTCAGAAAGAATACAGTCGAACAGAAAGAAAAACAGAAACGGGAAGAGGTATGATAAATCAAAGAGCACTTTTAGGAAACGCAGACGAACTAATAACTGGGTTTTGTAGAACTGACAAGTGTGCGAGATGGGTAGGAGGATAAACAGAAAGAGGGATTAAAAGAACAGGGAGAAGAAAAAAACCTCAATGAAAGAAATCTTGTGCATGGAAATCCATGGTAACAGTGATAATGACTATCCACATGGAAACAAGCACAAAGAGGGAAGTAATTGAAAATGAAAGAAGTGCCAGTTAACCTTGGGTGAGGTCCACGTTAATGCAGCAGGGGCAGGAGTAAAAAGAAGGTAGTGAAGGAGGAGAGCAAGGGGAGAGCAGAAGCTGGGGGTGGTCTGTGGAGTGACATGAGAGGCAGTATTTCTTAGAGGAGGGGAAAGTCTTACAGAGTCTGCCTGGGAGACACAGCACTCTTAATCCAGCTGCCTGGGAGGGAGAAAGAGATCTCAAGACGGTGTAGAGGAAGGAGCAGGCAATTTGCAGCCCTTTTTAACTGATACACACTCCCCACATTACCTACCAACCACACACACTCACACACTCACAGGCTTTTACTCACTCACACCACACCTTGGCAGGTGGCCTCTGCCCAGATCAGTAGCTGTGGTAGGAAACCATCTCAACTGACTGACGGAGGTTTGAGCTGAGGTTTGGATCCTCCCCGACTGCTGGAGCGTGAGCAGAGTTGGGAGCTTCACTTTCTTCCCCAGTGCAGAGGGAGCGCACGCCAGACACGAGGCTCACCACTCCTCCCCTCTTCCACTCTGCCTTCGGCTGGGCTCTCGTCCAGAGAATGACTGGCTCCAGTGGACCCAAGAGGAGGAACATAGACTGAAGATACAGTACAGCAGCTTCAGCTCTGCCTGCCTGCCTGCCTGCCTGCCTGCTGGGAAAGAGTAATGCTTTGAGGTCTTACAAATCAACACTTCCAACACCTTTGTTGGATCTGCTTTTTTTCTTTTTTTTTTAAATTTCACTTTTTTTTGTTGATCTGATCAGAAAGAGTGAGTCTAAGCCGTGCATGCAGACAGACAAACAAACAGACGGACTGACATATGGACACAGAGCAGTGAGCACTGCGGCGTGAATGTAGCAACTGGACTTCTCTTCTCCCTGGTAACTAAGACCAAACAAGGATAATAGCCAAAGCCCTATCCTGTCCACTGAGGTAGTGGGTGGATGCAGCTTTCAGCAGGCTGCTATAGGAGAAAGCTGAGACTGTATAGAGGCTGCAGAGATACGTTTAGTTGATTGTGGTGATCATTAGAAGATGGACTGTCACCTCCAGGGAGACTCTTGTTGGATTGTTATACCGAAGACTGTCTCGTGTTGAACACTGTTTGCAGGACGTTGCCGAGCAAAGACTTTTTTCCTTTTTGCACAGAATCTGTTGCACGTGCTGTGTGGACTTTCTGACTGTATGAATGTAGAATGTGTGCCTCAGTGATGGTGGCTGAGCGCATAAGGACTGTGTATCTGTCACTGATGCTGCTGTATCTCGTTCTGCTGGGCACGGCTCGCACGGCGCACAGCATCTACCCACGGATACGTCTCTCCCACAAAGGTAAGATACACCTAGTGTGCGTCTTCTTATTTACTTTAGCAGCAAATACTCACATTGCGCAAATTTTCAAATGCCGCATGAACACAAAGGGAGTCACACTGACCAAAATAGTAAGCGCAGCACCAGTTGAAGCTAGCTTTCTCTTCATTGCAGAATTAGAATGAAACAGGTGTAGCAGAACATTTTTTTTATGCCTTTCTTCTCAAATAATGCCAGACATTACTGCTGCAGTGTTGTTGGTACCAATGCTATCAGCTCAGTTAATAGTCAAAAACTGTTATACTGATGGATTAATCTAATGTTTGTAGTTTACAAAATGTTCCTCTGCAACAGATATGTGCATGAAATGTGCATGCAAAGCAACACATGCAATAATGCACCAACACAGGAAACGTACTGTAAGATAAAGTGAAGTCAAAGACGCTGCAACTATCAATATGTTGTAGCCTGAGAGAAAAAGAAAGATACGCAGTGTTGGAGCCAAAAGGGGCAACTTCTGCTCTGACTTTCTGAAGTGCATGTTTTTGTGTGTGTGTGTGTGTTTTTTTCACCCACTGTTGATGCTCAAGGAGCCTCCTTGCAGTTTGTTTTGGTCCCTCAGCCATGGTGGCTGAAAATTCACAATGTGGCTTTCTCTCATGCCATAGTGGCGGAGCGATGGAGTAGTTTTTTTTTTCTCTCTCCTTTTCTTTGGCATGGGAATATGTCTGAGCGAGAGCAAAAAGTGTTTGTATGTGTGCGATTGTTTACGTGTGCGTGGGAGTGTGTGATATGGATGTGCACGCGCTGGTATGTGGACTGATTGTTGTGTATCTCGCAGACAATAATGAGGGTTTTATCTTTGCAGATAAAACTCTTGAGTAAACATCGATTTTTTTTTTTTTTCCTCCTCAGTTTCTTTGATCTCTATAGCAACAGAAGGTGATGATTCCACATAAGCCTGTTAGTCATGGTTGAAAATAGGTGTGGAATTTGGATGGTCAATAACTCATAAATATGTGTGCGGGGTCTGTTAAGCGTTATGTTGTCGAGTCGAGTTCATCAGTAGGAGGGTTTGCTGTTTTCTGATATTGTGTGCCTTATGTCTCCTCTTTTTGCATCGTGGATTCTGTTAACAAACACGAAATAAATACAGAAAAACACAATTGTCCAATGAAAAATAGTGAAAATGGCAAAAGAAATGAAAGACAAAGTGGGAGCGAAAAGATCTGAAAAAGATACTTTTAGCTACAGTCATGCAAATTTCATATATCAACACAAGTGAGCAGGTCACTGCTGATATGCTTCGTCATAAATGCACACATAAAAGTCTCAGCTTTGATCGTGACTTTCCAACTCATTAGCCGCCTGAGGGCTGAGCTGCTCCAGTGATTGACATCCACCGTTCTCTCTCTGTCGCTCTCTCTCTCTCTCTCTTTTCCCTCTGATACATGTTCTGGCTAGCTCAGAGCACTATGAAAAGGCTGGATTCGGATCCTATCATTATGGAATGAAAAACATCTAAGTCCTAATACATGCCTCATGGGCAGTGATTTTTTGCGCACACCCTTCGGTTCACACCATCTCATACATATACATGCACACACAGACACATGCACAGGCGGAATAGTGTGAATTCTTCACATGCCAGTGATTTAGATGAGGTTCAGTGAGATGGATAGGGATGTGGTTTTTACTGTTCACCATCAGGACTATGAAAATATCACCATGACATCTGGCATCTAGATTCTCCTCTTTGAGCCAAAGATTGGTAACATGAAGGAAAAGTTACCAATATCATGACTGAAATATTTTTAACCCACTTCTGGTCAGATGGGGCAGATACAGAGTGTGGGATCAATATAAAGCTCGATGAGATCAGCTTTCCCATGGTTTCTGGGAGTGAATTCCTCTGGGCACATTATCATGTGTTCCAAGGATGACCTTACTGTTCTACTGTATGGATGTCTTTGATGTTAGCCACTCGTCGCACATGCTGTGAAAGTATTTTTAACTACTTCTGTTTCATCCGTTCCTCATGTTCTCGTCTAGACTTCTGCGCCAGTTTAGATTTTTTCCAAATGTACCGAATTCACTTTCATCCTTTCATTTACTTACACCCCTGGTTAACTCTGGACAGTTGCCAAAATCCCATGGCGTATCGAGTTACAAGCGCCGACTCTGTGCCGTCTTTAGAAAGAATTGACCCTAATCTTTGGCTGCACAGCATTGTAAGACCTTAAACACAGACTAAAGACATTAATGCCCCTCAATTGCTTGGACTTTTTGGCCACTTAAACTCCCTAAATCCTGGAATATTACATATAGAAACATCCCTGCAGGGAGATGTGCTCACAATAGAGCAGAAATAAAAACATACTTTTGGTTTTTAGCATATTTTAACCTCTGGACACATATGATTTGGATTTGCATCATTCAAGGCTCTTGGCAGCAGCTTATTTCAGATCTCCGGGCCTGCGGAGTGAAATGAGCTCTTCCTTTAGGACAACCATTAATTTTGCTGCTAATGAAGCTGTTGCGCAGCGAGTGTGTGTCAGAATGCCGACAGGCTGCAGGTAGGTGGCCAGGCTTAGACTTATTTTGCTGGCTCTACAGCACTGTCATCATGCTTGGCTTAAGCTGCCGAGAGCGTGATACAGCAGTTTTCGGTGATGACCTAATTAGACCAAAGTCACTTCCAAAAACTCTTCACTTCTTCGGTTGGATCATGTCATTAGCAGTGGCACTTGGTAGTTTGTTGTGAAGGGGGAATTTATGTTAATTTATGTTGGGCATAATGGACACTTGCTCTAGCAACGCACACATGCAGGAAGCATTTTGTTCTTCGGGACAAAAAAGGACAAAATAGCAACAAACAAACAAAAACGAAGCCCCGTCTGGATTTAAGAGTTTAGTTACTGTTGCTCCTCTTTGCAGAAGAAGAACGGACACTATATTGTAAATTTAGTGGTCACACTATTTTTGTATTACTAAACATGTCTGAGTTTTGTAAAACTGTGAGAGCAGCTACGAATAAAAAAAATAAATTAAAAAAATCTATAATTGACCAGACGTTGCCTCAGCACATCTGCCAAGAACATTTTTCCGCAAAAAAGTCATAATCATTAAGCAACATAAATATTTCTCTTCGGCAAGTCTGTGAAGGTGAATAAAGTTATCCGGTGATGTTAAGCTCTTCTGGCATCGCTACCATCATACTGTATATGTTGGCTTATATAAATAAACACATTCTATATTTTAGCCCAACGTTCACCTCGTGGAAAACTTAAACAAAAGATGGCTAAAGCACTGGAGGGCTGAATTTACTCATATACTGCACATGTGTGTGAGTCATATTCTAGATTTGTAAAAACATAGGTGGGAGAATTGCTAATAGTTTTTCAGACATTTCTTGTCCTCGGCACGAACGTAAAACTGTGATATTTAAGCAGTAGGAGCTGAGAGACATGCATGTGTGAACACAGGGATTACTCAGGTAGCAATTACTGATGTATGAAACCCCCCCTTTGAACTGTAATTTTAGACCTTCCTCTCCAGACAAGAAAAAGCTCTTTCTATGTATTTTACAACCTTGAAAATGATGAGGCTTGTAGGTGACTTTCCTCTGAGGTTAAGATGGGAAATACCGGTTTTGACCTAAAGTTGTGCCTGCTTGAAACGAAACGAAGCGGGGGAATTTTAATTCCTTATTTTTGCCGCTTCGATCTAATGCAGTAAGTGAGGAGTCCCATTAACTTTCTTCCGTCTACACGTGAAGAGACCTATAATTAACATTTACCGCTTTGGATGGTGGCCACGAGGCAGAACACACTGTTAAATCTAACCAGTGCAAAGTGGAGGGTACAGTGAGGGTTTACATAAATCACACCTTTTAGGTCAGCAAAAGAAAAAAAAAAGGGGATCATTTTTCAACCTCCTCCTTTCACGCTCACCTTTCTCGCGTTCTCATTTAGTCCGTGTACATCCCCACGTCATTTTCTCGCCCATTGTGTTATGTGTGTGCTCTCCAGTTCATTAATGAGATGTCCAGAGGGGAAGGCAGCTGGCGAAACTCTAATATCCTTTCTGACCTTTTCCCGGAGAAGCGACCGGTGGGGAGAGGCGATGAGTTAAGTTTGTAACATGTGAAAAGAGAGGGGACGAAGATTGTTTGAGTCTCCCGAGACGAAGCCGCAATGATATTAAAGCGGGAAGAAAAGGAGGATGAGGGATGGCGAGAGTGTCGGGACACACAATTGCCAAGAGGTTATTGTTTTTGTAGGCTGGTGTGTAAAAGAGAGTAAATGAAGGAGGGGAGGGGGGTCTCCCTTTGCTAACTTGTGGGGGACAAGAGAAGAAGCACAAAGAAGATCTGTTCAGGCAAGATGCTGCTTAAGAGTTCTGCTACTAAAAATACATAAGATATGTAACGCAAATGACAGTTCAGATGGAAATAGGTTTATAATTTATGAGGCTGCAGCTATACGTTGACGTACACCGCAGTCACTCTGGCTCTGAAGCAGTACAGCTCAGACCAGATGGGGGGTAGACTTTAATTAAATATCAGTCAAACACAACGCACTCATTCATTCAGGAAGCATATTAGAACATGACATATGTAAATACCTGCGTTGTTTGATTAGGAAGTGTCAGCTTTCAGGTATCCCCTTTGATTTATAACATCACTCTGGTTACCATTAAACTCTGTCATTATCACAGAGAAGCACACTTCCCTCTCATCCTCCTCGGACGCTCCATGTGGCTTTCATTTTGCGCTGTGACATCATCTCCCCCCTCCTCACACACACACACAAGGGGATACGGGAACACATGGATGTATACCGATAATGGCATAACACCCCAGCTCCCCAGCTCCTGTCCCCCCAGCCCCCACAGTCTCGCTCCGGCCTTGAAGGCACACAGAAGAAAGTCCCTGCTCATTTTTGTACCCTTTAACTCCAGCTCACCCCAATAACTCTCTTTTGCTCTGTTCCTGCACAAGCCCCCCATTACTCACTGAGGATAAGCTTGTTTCGCTGGAAAAACCACGAGTTTAATTTCTGTCGTAAAACGCGTGCTTAGCGCTGGCGATAGATCAAATCATGATAGCAAATTTAATTTGTGTTTTTAAGTGCTTCCATACATTCACCTTGGTTTATTTGACCAAACATGAAATGCTGCTAAAGGACCTATAAAACCAAAATAGGTATGCTAGTGCACACACACACACACACACACACACACACACACAGAGGCATATTGTACTCCAGCAAAACAGTGTTTCCATACATGGATAAAGACGAGATCACGAAGTTTATTTTGATTTCACTTCACCAAATCTTCTCAGGCATCTCTCAGCGCTCCTCAGACAGCCGATGAAAGTGTCTGTCTTGAGGGAGTCCTTTTTTTTCTCTGTGTTTTTCATTTGAAGTGGGATCACAGTTGGGGCCATGTGTCTCCCTGGCTCAGTCGCTGACGGAGAAACACCCTCCTCCTCCTTCTAGCGCCTTAGCTTTGGGCTAAGGAGCCCTTACTGGCTGCAGATGGTGCGAGAGAGAAAGGGAGGTATGGGGGAAATGTGGAAATCCCCTCTTTCCGTTATTCCAGCCTGAGCTGTGACTGGCACACATAATGACAGAGAGGAAGCCTTTAAATCACCGGTCTGAAGCATCTCTCAGTGTGTCATTGTAATCAGGAGATTCAACAATTGTATTTTAGCAGCTTTAATTACCTGTAATAATTGTAATCAACCCATTTTTTATGACTATAGTTTGTTGTCACTTGTATTTGTGGGGAGTGTAAAGTCTTCTTTCTTTCTTTCTTTAATTCTTTCTTACCTACTTATCTACAAAAACCTACCCAGAGAAATGTATTTATCTTTGTTCGTGTGTGTGTACGTTTGTGCGTGAGTCTGTCATGCACATCCTGTTAATGTGCATGTGTCCAAAGGAATCACCTGCCAATCATCTTTATTGGCAAAGACAAGTGAAAAATAGATGGATAAACGGTTTTGACTCATGCACCGTTTACTCCATCACTTTAAATAGCCATCTAAGTCTGTCATTTTAATAAGTGGTAGCAAATTTGCCTTCACATGAAGAAGGAGCTGATTGTTTGAAAGTTAATGTTAGAAGACTATCCTTGATCCAAGTCCGGCTCAACTCTGAGGGAACTAGGAAATAGAGACATCTCTGTGTGGGAGAAACAGAGAAATCGAAAGAGCTCCGTGTGTGTGTGTGTGTGTGTGTGTGGATTAGATAATTACAGGAAGCATGTCTGGGCTCTGACAGAACACCACTGCCACATCCCCTCCGTCTCTGCCACCTAACCACCCAAGATCTAATGCTACTCAAACAAACAGTCGCTTGTCTCCAACATGGAAATCTTAATAGCAACAAAGTATACACAGTCACCCGCTCCTCTGTGGATACCTAATACCATTTTAAACAAATAAAATGTTCCACACAGCGTGGAGTGCTGTTGCCATGAGTGATCTACGAAAATAGGATAAACACGCTCTCCTTCTATCTCGGAGATCAAGTATCAGTGAAAACATATAGATGCTAGAAAAACAAATCATACCATCACCCCCTGCAGCCCCGGCGTGTCGAGGCACCTCAGCAGCAGTTGAGGTAGTTTGGCTTGGCTATGTAGTCGTGTGTGATTCATCCAAAAGAAGGAACAGTGCATAGATATCCTACCACAAAAGTACGACAAATGGAACCTGTGCAGCTTTAGCTTTACGAATTTTATCACAGACCCCGGCTTGTCGGCTCGAATCCGCCCCAGGTCTCTGAAAGGCAGCTAACACACACCAGATCCCCTCTTTCTTCTTTTACAAGGGCACCCTTTTCAACCCGATCATGTGTTAATGAAAGGGTTTTCAGGCCAGCGCAACCCCGAGGAAGTGCACACCTCTGGAGGTTTAAAATCCTTCACCCTCAACCTCTCAAGGAGCTTACAGAAAGCAGGTACGGAGGAGCAGCCTGTCAAGTTCAATCAGGTAGATGCAGATGAGTGTGCATGGGTGGTATGTGCATGCAAACTATCTACTTAATCCGTGGTTGTTCTGATGAGCGTGTGTTTATATTTAATGACATGTCTGTCAGGGTGGGATTTCAAATCACCTAAAGCAAGAATGACAGGGAGTGGCAGCCTCTGAACTGATAAAGACACTGGTTCCGTTTCCTTTCTGATAAAAGTGCTTCCTCCCAGCAAAAGAGACCATATGAGAGAGAGAGAGGCTGTGAAAATCCAAGCCCCTCCCATTAATTACAACATCTTTCCCACAACTATCCCTGAATGCTTTTTTTTTCACGGCTGAGTTGTGCTAAGGGTTAGTAGTCGTCTTTACAGGAGCTTATTGGTGCCTGTGAGGTTTGCTTTGAGCTCAGTTGTGCGCTCATTTACTTAATGTGGACTTTTAGTAAATGAGAGCACATCTGAATCGAGGCACAGGAGGCTTAGGTGTCACGTGGAAGCCAGAGATGAGACGGGAAGCTGGTCTTGATGTTGCCGTCCGACATTCTCTTGGGGTAGCTACCGATCAAAAACACATGTTGTACTGTGCCCTTGGCCACTGGAGCAGTTTGGGACAGGCTACCAGAGCGCTTAGAAACCTCTTGAGAGAGAGCACTTGGTCAAATTTGATTTTCAGCACAATCACGAAACAAGATGAGAATCCACATGTAAAATATAAATCTCTCCATCTCCAGGTTCCTCTTGCAATCCCTTTGTCTTATTCCATTGGTGTGATTTTGTGTGTGCAGAGCTTTGGCAGCTGAACAGGACTTGGGTGTTCCAGGGACATGGAGCGTCTCTTCAACCCCAGACCATGCTGCTGGATGAGGGCCACGAGAGGCTTTATGTCGGTGCCAAGAATACTCTTTTCTCCCTGAGCCTGGACCGGGTTAACACACACCACAGAGAGGTCGGTTTCATCCCCGTCTGCCCGTCATGAAGGGAGACATTTGAACTCTCAGACTCGTGGGGCTATAGGTTAACCAAATTGGATGTATGTGCGCCTGTCTTTGTAAATCTGTGTTTAGTTTAAAATGACTGCATGAGTTGTTTAATGAGAAACTGAAAAGAGGCGCACAACGGCCTTGAGTGATTGATCTAACCAGTACTATCAGACACTTACAACATGCACTAGACGAATAGTATTTTTCAGTTTCTTTTATTAAATTCACTACAACATTATTTGTGTGGGCTTCCTTTCAGATCCAGTGGGCCAGTACAGAGTCTCAGATAGAGGAGTGTATGATGAAGGGGAGGGAAAAGGTAAGACGTACGTCCTCGAGGGTAAACACAAATGCCCAGCTGATAGCGTGTATTGACCCGACATTCACATAAACAATGTAGTTCATTTATTAAAGGTAAATTCCATCCGCGTGCATGAGCGGATTTACATACCTCACTGGGCTCGTTAACCTTTGTTTAACCTCGAGCATTGCTGTTATTGATGATGCACTAAATCCCTGCCATTTTTCCATTACGCCGTTATTTTACTGCGTGACCGCAATCCTCCCTCGCAAACCCCCTGACTCACCCGCCCCGCTCTACCTGCGCCCCGCTTCATCCGCTATATCTCTTCCAACAGCCGGAGTGTGCCAACTACATCAAGGTGTTGCAGCAGCACAACCAGACTCATTTGCTGGTTTGTGGAACAGGAGCCTTTAACCCGACTTGTGCCCTGGTCGGAGTGGGACACGCAGGGCAGGTGAGTCTTGAGGACAGAAATAGAGTTTGGTTAAAGAACGGATGATTTCAGATCTTTTAATCAAGCAGGACTGTGACCTTTTCAGTCCTTTCATCAATTATGCCATTGCTCTTTATGGTTTTAGCTTAAAAAAAAAAAGACTCCATTTTATTCTTCACTGCAGTGAACTGGTAGCAAAACACAGTTAATCAAATGAAAATGCTGCAGGCTTTATTTGTTAAACAGTCAGCCGAATATCTGCTCTACAATTCCCCTTTCTTTAGATGGACCTAGATAGAACCTTCTTCACACTGTTTTTATAATATTTTAGCCAGGAGCTTACAGAACTGTTAATACGCGCTCGGACTGCCGAGCTGTGAAGCTCTGCACATGCTCTTCGAGGCAGATTTATCCACTTAGCAACAAGGACTGATGTGAGGTAGAGATTGAAAAGACACAGAGTAAGAGTTCTATTTTATTCGGAGAGACCGAGAACTATTTGGCAGAAGGCTTCGATTTATATTAGAGCAATTTGGCACCATTTCTGTCCAGGTAAACAGGGAGAACAGGCCAGGTTCCACTTTCCCTTTGAGGGAAGAGGGTTTGAGTTCAGGGAAGACAAATATTCTGTCTCATTAAGGGGTCAGTTCAAATGTCTGTGTGTCAGCCTGCCCTTGAGTGGGATTTGGGTACACAGGAGTGTCTGGCGATGCATAATAGAGCGCCGGCATACATCAGCGTGAGCATGTTTGGATACAATATGACACATATCTCCCAGATGTCAAACAGTGAACGGTTGTAGGTGTGTGTCTGTGTGTGTGTGTGAGATGTATTTAGACAGAGGAGGGGAGAAAGGTTTCCATTCTGCATTCCAGCACTGGTCCAGCAGGTCGACCAGGCCAGTCACAGCTTTCAAACAGGAACCACACTAAGCCATCACTCACGTCGCTGGAATGCTCAGAGCTGAGCGAAACAGAATCAGATATGGCTGATTTATGTCAGTATAGACAACCTCTCCGCGAAACTGCCTCACACAAATCTCATATGTGGTATATGAGATTACATTTACCCGACAGTCACCATTAAGCCTGAGCTGCATAATATTTACATTACGATAAACTATGATAGAGATACTGTTGCTATTCGTCACGAGCCAGTGACTAATGAATCATGTATTAATGCACAAGTGGCCCAGATGTTTCAATAAAAACACTTAATATTTCACAGAACTGCTCATAAACTACCATTGATTCAGCCTATTTTAACTATTTTTCCATTTGGTTCTGACAGATCACTTTGTGTGATGAATGAGTTTAACCCAGAAAGCGACTTCTGTTACAATCATACGTAGGCCGGTAGTCACAGCACAGCGGGGCTCCCTGGCTACTCATAAATCAATGCAATACATGACATGCCCTCTGAACCGCCAGTGACGGTCAAGAACACTGTGGTGGCGCAGAACATATGAGTTGTGGTTCTATCGGGAGTTCAGGTCTGTGTAGTTAGGTGTGTGGGTCTGTGTGAGCATGTGTGTGTTTCTGCCACCTGCCGTGCGGAGCAGCCACATCTGAAGTCTACATCTGAGTAGAAGTGGTGATCTCACTATGATATAAGAGCAGAGCGAACCTGAGTATGCACCAGACAGGAGTCCTTCATTTGGTCATCAATCACTCCTCATCTCATCTATCTTCCTTCTCCTTCTCATCCATCACTTTCTGATCTTTCCTCTCTCTAATTCATTTCTATCACTTTCTCCACACGTCACCTCTCGGGGTTCGTCTGGATGTTGTTAAAGCCGTCGCACGAGCGTCGCTGCTCAGTGTGTGTTTGTGGGATTTAAGTTCATGTGTATTTGTGTGCAAACACCCAGTGTCTGTACCTGTGTGTTCTGTGTGTTGTCCTCAGGACAAGCTGTTTACTCTTGAAGAAGAGAGTGTTATGAGCGGCAGAGGACGCTGCCCGTATGACCCCAACAGCCCCTGCACATCTACACTCTCCAGTAAGACCGCTCACTCTGTAACTTCACCATCAGCTTGAGCTAAAAGAACAATTATGAGACTACGAAGTATGTTTTTGTATCAGCTGGATGACATACAATATAATTCCTGGGTTTGTCGTTGTGTTAACCTCAATCATAAGAGTCAATACTGCCATCTTGTGGTCCACTTTAATGACAGTCGAAGGAGTTGCTGCTCGGATGATATATGTGTGGTCATAACTCTGATTGTGCGTTCATGTTTGCATCAGGAGGAGAGCTCTACATCGGCCTGTACACCGACTACTGGGAGAATGACGGCGCTTTGTGTCGACTGAACAACCAGACCTACACACGGACCGAAAGGAACGACAGGCAGCAGCTCAACGGTTAGTGTACATTACAGGGAAATGATCACATCTCACTATAAACACGAGGGTGCGCTTGCCGATACAGAACACTCGAAAACACATCAAGAATATGTCAAAATAGTGCGACAGTTCCGAAAATTAGATGCTGCTTCCAGGAAATGAACTGATATATTGTCTAAATGTTTTGGTTTTTTATCAATGAATTGAATCATCTTGTTATTAAATGCTTTAAAAATGTGACACTGGTTCAGATTTAGATAAAGTAGGCCTTCTATATGACATCAGTCTTACCTGTTTTATCAGAGATTGGCTCTATTTGAAGATTAATGTCTTGTTAGTGTTTTTAAAAATACTGGAAATTCTCAAAAATGCTTTGACAAATAGCAGATTACTCTATATAAGGGATTCCCCCAATAAGAACCAAGAAGAGAATAACTTTAAAACAACTCATAGAGGGCATACTGTTTGTTCCAGTTGTTAAATCACTACCTAACATCTTGTGTGCTTTATATACCACTCCCTGCCTAATGTAAAAATCCTTCTTCCTACAGAACCTAAGTTTGTGGGCTCAGCAGTTATTCCTGACAACGACGACAGAGACGATGACAAAGTTTACTTCTTCTTCACTGAGCGGGAGGTGGACGCCGAGGGAATGAACAAGGCCGTCTACGCCCGCGTTGGCCGAGTCTGTGCGGTGAGAATGCCAATGCGGCAGCAACTTTTCTGGCCAAAAATGAAAGTACTGACAGTGCAGTCGCAATATATATCTGCCTTCATCTCTCAGAATGACCAGGGAGGACAGAGGATGCTGGTGAATAGATGGAGCTCCTTCCTCAAGACTCGTCTCATCTGCTCGGTGGCCGGACCGAACGGCATTGACACGCACTTTGATGATCTCGGTAAAGCTACAGCAGCATTTATTGCCATCTTAAATATTGATGATGATGCTTTTCATGCTTTGTCTGTAATGCACACGTGTTGATCTAAGATTTCCAAAGTCACTATAATATTTGGATGTTTCTTACTTTGTGTGTCCAGCCTGACGTGTTAACATTTACCTGCAAACATCTCATGTATTGCATTCGAGCATCCACTTTGCAAAAGAATAAAGAAACTGTGATCTTTCAAACACCTTCTGCAAGAAAAAAAACACTTCAGAAATATTAGGTGTAATCTTAACAGTGACTACAAAGCCCCCTTTACAAAACAAAGATGGCACTTACTAACAAATTTGAAGCCAAAGCCTTTCTGTGAACACTAAGACACAGTTAAGCTTTGAGCTAAATGTCAGCGTGCTAACATTCTCACAACGGGTTAATGTTGTTACAACTTTTCACTAAAAAAAATCCAACTTTCATGTTTCAGAGGATGTGTTTGTGCTCAACAGCAAGGATGAGAAAAACCCAGAAATATTTGGCCTCTTTAGCACGACAAGGTGAGCGGAGGACGATATCAGCGTTTCATTACAGGCTTTTCTTATCAAACCGCTAATGGAGCCGTCCTTTTTTTGCAGCGCGGTGTTTAAAGGCTACGCGGTGTGTGTTTATCACATGGAGGACATCAGAGCAGCCTTTAACGGTCCATTTGCCTACCGAGAGAGACCCGAGCATCACTGGACACCTCACGAGGACAGAGTCCCCTACCCTCGACCTGGATCCGTGAGTATTCACTTTCTAAATAAATAATGTTTATGGGATTTCATTACCAGATTGCCAACGTTATTTATTCGCGGCGCTCTCCGTTCCATCCAGCCTGTGCCCGCGACAGATGTCCTTTGAAAGGCCCAATGTTTAGAGAATGTAGGGCAGCTGTGGTGAATGTCAGCACCGTCGTAACCACCTCAGCAGGTCACACGGAGACAAGTCTGAGCCTGACTAATGCACGTCAGCTTTTTTTCTTTCCCACCCTGCTCACACAGCGCCGATGCAATTAATAGTCTTCTTTTGTCTTTGTCCTATCACCTCCTTTTAATCTCCTTATATCCATCATACTCTCTCCGTTACAGTGTGCCAGTAAAATGAACGGCGGCGGCTTCTCCAGCTCAAAGGAGTTTCCTGATGAAGTTCTGCGGTTCGTGCGCTCTCATCCTGTGATGTATCGCCCAGTGCTTCCGCAGCATCACAGGCCCGTCCTGCTGCAGACCGAGCCGGGCAGAAGAAAGCTGACCCAGATTGCGGTAGATCGGGTCCAAGCCCAGGACGGACACTACCATGTCCTCTACATCGGCACTGGTACACACACTCGTTTGCTAGTTACTGTTTTCATTCATCACACTAATAAAACAAGACAAATTCAAACCTGAAATTGCGGTAATGAAAGCAGAATACCTCCATGCCATTACCTGTAAAACCCTTTGTATAAGCAACAATGTGATATTACCGTCTTCCTCGCTTAGATGACTCAGTGGTGCTGAAAGTTATCACCATCTACAACAAAGACACAGACACTATGGAGGAGGTGCTGCTGGAAGAGCTGCAAGTATTCAAGGTACTCTATTTTTAGCGATGGAATGTGAATGCAAAGACGGCTTCCTATCCGAGTGAATTCTGCAGTTTGTTGCATAAATATCACAGTCCATCACTGCTGCTTCTGTTACACCGTACGAGGGGTTATTTTGAAAACACTTAATGCTGATTTCGCTTCATCAGAGGAGCAAGAGGGTGTGATTGTGCAGCCAGTCTGCTGAGAGACCTTCAGACTGATTTGAATATATCAGTTCTACTTAGATCAGTGAACCTTTAACAAGTCTGCAAGCGGCGGTTGCTGCCACTTTAATTCAGGCCCGATTTTCGATGGATGAAAGCAGTGACAAAGAACTTAGCTCCTTCTTGTCTTACAGCACATAATGGACGATTGATTTCACTTCATTTTTGAAAAAACAGTAACGTGTTTCCTATTTGCAGCTACCAGCACCAATAAGAGAGATCATAATATCACCAAAAAGGGTAAGAGAAGAACTGTACTACACATTTTTATTCCTGCAATTCTGTTGTTTAGCCACAAGATGATAACATTGCGACACTTTGCATTACACGGACATGACTCAGATGCACTACTTGTGGTTAGGTAGCCCAATTGGAGGAGGAATAGACAGACCAGAGATGTAAAATCTGATTCCAATTAAACTGTCTTGATACCAACGCTCTACATTTTCTTGCTTTCAACAGCAACAGCTATACGTGGGTTCGGAAGTGGGTGTGGCTCAAGTCAAACTGCATCAGTGTGACCTGTACGGTTCAGAATGTGCAGATTGCTGCCTGGCTCGAGACCCCTACTGCGCCTGGGATGGCCTCACCTGCTCCAGATACTACCCCGCTGGAGTCTACACCAAGAGGTAATAGCCCACATGCACTTCAAAGCAGCATCCGTGTTTCTCTTCCCCCTGCAGATGTTTGCGTGTGATATCGGCTGTTCGCAGCTTTAACGGTAGACCTCATCGCTCTGGAAAAAACTCACAATGCTCTGAGGCTGGTTTACCGAGTCATTATCACAGGCGCTGAGAGTCATGACAGCCAGGTGTTATGTAAGGCCTATCAGTATGCACCTGATCACCTCCCTTTGCCTTCCTCTTTCTCCCACTTTCACTTTCTTTTCCTCCTTCCTTTTCAACCATCTCTTGCACTTTCATCACATGTTTAAAAATGACTCCCTCTCTCTCTCTCTCTCTCTCTCTCGCTTCTTAGCAGGCGATTCAGGCGGCAGGATGTTCGCCATGGCAACGCCGTACAGCTGTGCAATGGGCTGCAAATTGATGGTTAGTGTATAAATGGCTGTGGGATGTGTGTGTGTGTGTGTGTCCAAGAAACCTTGTGTATATTTACTGGAGACTCAACATTTTGTTAGAAAAACCATCAACACAAGATATACAGAATGAAAAAAGCATGACCTCGTGTTGCAGCTAGAGGTGAGAGAGGTTAATGTTCATGTACTGTAGCAGAAAAACAGACCATGATGCATCGCTGCAGTTCACTGCCGCCTTTCTTCCCCTCGCTATCTTTTATGACATGCGTGTCTGCGTTTGTATACAGATGAACAATGGCAGCGAGCCGAAGAGAAGCTGGTGTACAGCGTGGAAAGCAACAGCACTTTACTAGAATGTGTCCCGAGATCACTCCAAGCCAAGGTCCTCTGGTTCTTACAGAAAGGAGGAGAGAAACTGGAGGTGAGTCTGCATTCAGAAACAACATAACAAACACAAATGAGGAAAATATGCAACACCCTGGGCAGAGAAATGGATCAGAGTGGTGGGGAAATATTGAAAGTGGAAGGGTCAGTTTTTATATTTTAGCACTGACTCCTGCTGTGTTCTTCCAACAACACATTTTTCCTTTCAAGCAGTTTTTAATTTGTCTTCTAGCTCAAATTTCTGCTGCCACCTCAGGTGTAGTTTTGTAATTTCATCTCAAGCAATAAGTATTTACATTTACATAAACGGCGAGGTTTGTGGTTTGTAACTGGGGAATCGTTTCTGGGAGCAGATGCTGGTTATTTAAATGCTTTTTTCAGTGCATTGAACACTGCAAACAAATTTCTATTCTACCACACTGCCCAGGGGTGGCAAAGTAAGCTAAAAACGAGCAAACCTATTCAAATGAATCAAAACAAACTTTTATATCCTATACATGTGTATTTATGCATTATATTCAAACATGCAGTGTTTGCTGCAGTGAAAGAAACTTGGAGTGGTTACAGAACCTGGAGTCTTTGTATTGAGTGAGCTATTAAAGTACTGCTCTGCCTTAATTTATCCTTTACTTGTACTGTAGGTTGTTTTAATCGAAGTCCTCTTGGGGGAAGAACAAACAGTGCCACAGATGCTTGAATTTCTCGACTTAAATAAAGACTACATTACTGGCTTGAGAAAAAATAAATGCTTTTTCTCCCTTTATGTAGGTACGAGGTGATGAGCGGGTTATCATGACCTCCCACGGGCTGCTGTTCCTACGTGTGAGAAGCTCAGATGCCGGCGTGTACGTGTGCCAAACTGTGGAACACGGATACGTGCACACATTGTTACGAATCCGGCTGCACGTGCTCAAAGGGGAGAGGGTGGAGTCGGCCATCCACGCGGCTAACGACGGGGAGGGAGAGAAAGCCACAGCTCCGTGCCACTCCTCAATTGGCCCCCCGCCGGGCCCCAGCATCAGCCCCAGATCTCTGGTGCCGTCCTCCGTCTCGGGCCCCCACTCCAGGCTGTGGTACAAGGAGTTCCTCCAGCTGATTGGCTACGGGGATGCTCAGAGGGTAGAGGAGTACTGTGAGAGAGTGTGGTGCTCTGATAAGAAACGCAAAAAGACCAAAAGGAAGTATGTTCCTTTGGGTGGTGAGAAGAGAGGAAAAGCGAGGGGAGAGGAGAACTCCCACAGAGCTCCCAGGCACACCTTGGACACCTGAGGAGAGCAGAGGCTGACAGTACATACTACTCACATGCAGTCTAAAGGTCAGACTCACTCAGTGTTTGCACCACGTAAAAGGTTTTCACTTTGCTTTCGACAAGAGCAGTAATAGAAAAAAAAAAAACAACAGTAGCAGGCTGCCTCGCTATCGTAGCTACATTCACCACTCAGTACTTTGATTGTGCCATTTCCACTTATTTTAAACCCACATTTTGCTTTGTTTTTGTTTGTGTGTGTGGGGTAAAACTTATTATTTGGTGCAGACACTGGGTCAACAGTACAAATGTCCGTGTCAATACAGAGCAGAGACCCTGGGGGCGGACGGACGACAGATTAACCAATGTTGCCTCTGATTTGGAGAGACAGACCATAATACATATCAGCTCCTGCGGACTGACCCCAGCCCGACCCAGCCGTCAATCAAAACGCACACCGAGACCGCTCGGCTAAAAAAATCTCTGCTTCACCTCTCATTCGACGGCGTAAATAACGACAAACTCTTGATTACGAGAGAAAAACAACGATGTTAAAGCTAACCGCCTTCTGATCTCTCATTGGTACTGCAGTAACTTATTTTCTTGGTTTCTACTTTGAGTTGTCTAGTTGTTTAGATGTCCTAAACTGGAAAAAAATATGGTGTTGTTGATTTTGTAGAGTGAAAAATGCTAATTTGATTCGATGGCGGCTGTGGGGTGATGACCTCGGTGCGAGATGTTGCAACGCCACTATTACGGATATTTGAGGCATGTTTTTAATTATAATTATGCCCTCAATGGAAATAAATACTATTTAAGCACTTGTTAAACCTGTTCCAGTAGATGAAAAGTGGTCCCATCAGTGGACATTATTGTTACTGTAAGTTACATCTACAATTGTGATCAAATGTACCAACAGTATTGTGTGTATTGTATATTGTATTTATCTAAAATTCAGGGTGGTCTTTGTGTGCACATCTGGTAACTATAACTGTGTATTCAAAAAGTCATCCCTCTCTCTGCTGGCTGCTTTCACTTTCTTTCCCCCACTGCTTTTCCTCCTTTTCCCTCCTCTTTCGCTTCCTTATTCCCTCGTCATCCTTCCGCCCACTTTCTTGTTTGTCTGCAGTGATGTTGCAGATGGGAGTCATAATTACCACCACAGACAGCGATGTACAACACCACATTTCCCTTAAAAGAAAAAAAAAAAAAGAGATGAATAAATGTTAGGGGGACCATCCAAGCATGTCATTAGTGAAACAGATGAGTCAGTCTTATGAATATTCATGTAATCCTGAGATGACAAAAACAAACAATCTGATGTTACAGTGAAATGCACTGTAGTGGTTGTGCTAATTACTCTGGAGGATTGTGTCTTTTTGTTTTTTTTTCATGCTGTGCATTATTTATTTTATGTCACTTTATCGTTTCGACCCTGTTGTCTATGTGTTGTTTTCGTGACATGGAGAAAAAAAAAACAACAACCACTTTTCAGGCCTTTGTATTGTCACTCGTCATTCTCTTTGGATATTCTTCATCTAAGAATGAATATGTTGTCTGCTATACCCCTTATAAATACCTGCCATTAAAAAAAAAGATGGACCATCCTTCCTCGGTGTCACCTCTGTGGTTGAGCCATCAATAACGCCTAAGTACACTCTGAGCATGTGCAGCAACACACACAAACACATCGGCACGCAGCCACACGTTCTCTGCTTAATAACTACGGTGACTGTGGTCCATTTCCAAGAGTCGTCCTCAAATGTATTCATATCCTCCCAATAAAGAAGGAAAAAAACAGTCGTCTCTGAAATAGGTTGAAATTGACAAAAGTAATAATAAATTTAATGAAAATCATGACATTGCAGAAAAATTTTAAAAAACCAAAACAAAACATGACACAAGCATGATGGGACCCGTAAACTAATATTTCGTTGATCAACCCTTTGAGCCAATCACTGCAATCAAGTGTTTTCTGTAACTCTCAGTCAGACTTCTGCACCTGTTGACAGCTATTTAGAATTTTGGTCCACTGCTCATCAGCAAAGTGCTCTAATTTGACAGTTTTCGTTTGTTTTTTAAATTATTCTTTTCAACCAAAATTCAAAAGCAATGTCTTATTTCACTAAATTACAATTTATCAAATTTTTATTTATTATTACTTTTTTCAGTTTCTAGTTATTTGAGTGATTATTGTGAATTTTGCCTTTTCTTTAATGGAAGGGTATGAATACGTTGGAGGATGATTGTATAATTGGGCCATATGTTGGTGAAACACATTTTATACTATCTAATCAGTGATATTTAGCATTTGCACTATGCAAACATGTAAATCAAACACTAAAATGTAGCATAGTATACACAATATTCCTTAACATTTAGATGTTTTCTCATAAAAACATATTTCCGATTGTTCCAGCAGCATATTAATATATTCTACTATACATTATCTGTTTATGCACAGGCTTCCTCTGCTATAGCGTCTGACAAATACATTAATAAACACTTAAATCTTCCTCTACAGCAACATCATAGTGGTCCACAATCTATTTATTTAGTTGCAACTGTTCATACTGTTATATCAACCTAATTACTAAATCAAGGTGTTGCTGAAACAAAAACATCCAAGACAACTAGTAACAAGTGTTTTTTTTTTCACAGCATACTGCTCACTGGGACACCGTGCTCATTCAAATTCTGTCTAGGTCTACCTGAGTCAGAGGGGTGCTGAAGGCATTTGAGAACAGAATTCATGCTGCTGATTTATTCCACATGGCTACCATAGCAACAGTCTCTGAACCTGTTCAGCTCCCCTCCTCATCAAAGCTCCCCTCTTCTCTCTCTCTGTCAAGTTTGAACACCTTTACTCTGGTCCTTGGGCCGCCCCTCTATCCACTGATCCCTGTGGTCACTCGTACATCATTCCCTAATGTATGAGGCTGCTTCTCTTAGTTATGCTCAAAGGTGCTTTCTTTTCTAATCTGGGACTGAAGCTGGCATTTGCCTCCTGCATGAAACTTTTGGAGATCATCTGAGCAGCTCTGGGAACACAACAGAAAGGAATCTGCAACTGCATATATCTTTTTAAAAAATATATCCAGTCCTACACTTCAAGGGTCAAGAGACCAATTTAATCTAATGGGATGTTATAAATCTTTCCATAGCGATATGAAGGGATCAAAAGGTCAAACGTCAACGCAGTAAACACGCCGCCGTACACGTTTCCTCGCCTTCGTGAAGATTACAGTGCTTACTCTTTTTCGGCAATTTGAAGCCTCTCCCGCTTCCCTGTCGTCTTTTTTTTGTCCCCACACGGCGCTATTTCCATTAGGAGCCAGCGCACCAGAACACTTTATTACAAGTGAAAATGTCACGGAGGGGAGTGGAGGTTATGAGGCAGCGCAAAATGAACAAACAGCAAATGATCCGCTACAGCTAGTAATGCATTGTAAATCGTGTGCACCAGGATACTGCATGTGTGGACAAGAACGTGTTATTCTTTTTTACAACTTTTGATTGTATTTGCTTTAATGGCTTTGTCTGTGAAAATAAGGATAAAAACAAAACAACAGTTCTGCACCAATCTCCCTCTCGCTCACACTCACTCGCATGCAAGGCTGAAATTCACCCCCATGGCAAATTGTCTCGTGTGTTCATACCATAACACTGCATCATCACAACCATGAGAAGAAACAGAGACAAGCTTGTTTATATTCTGGATCAAACTCCTCAGGTTTCTTTTTTTTTTTTTTTGCTGTAGCTCCTCATTACAATCCACTGTTCTGCTTTTAACATTTACATAAAATGCACCTTTTTTGAATTTATCTTGCCCATGTGCTTGGACAGATAAGCCTTCTTCTTTTTTTTTTATCTCTAAATGCTCTCAGCACATATAGGAAATTGAAGGTTAACCATCAAATACAATGCTCTCCATGTTGATAAGTGAACTGATAAGGAAAAGGGAAAGTGGGGACACAGATAGTCGCCTGTCCTGCATATCTACAGAGAACAAAGGGGGCTATTAAAAAAAAAACTGGACATAAACAAAATCCACAAAGTGAATCTGAAAAAATAAAGACATCGAAACACTGTACACACACACAGCAGCGTGTCAATATGTACTGCGTGTTATCTCACTCACGCAGCTGTCACAGAGGTACAGTATTTTCCCAGCACATCGAATAACCGGCGCCAGGAGAGGTTGGGCTGACCCCTGCGAAATTTTACGTCCGTTTACTCATCGGTTGTTTGTGATCTTTGTTTTCGTCTCACAAAAACAAGATAATAAAAAAGCCCGACCCATTCATTCGGCGTGATTCACCGGGGATGCACGTGCGTGTGGGACTCTCTGCGAGCGTAAAAGATGCCTCCCACCCGTCATCCCGCCATGTTTCCCACAGCTCCCATACCTCACCAGGCACAAGAGGCTTTGAGGGGGACCGCCAAGCGAGTGAGAAAGATGGGAGGCGTAGATCATCTGGCTTTTTCCTGCTACTGATAAACCAAGGGAGAGAGGAAGTGAATGAAGCAGAGAATAGAAGAACAGAGGAACGTGCATCCAAGCAGGTTGTGTGGGGTTTCGCTTCCCCTGAGACCAACAAACTTTGTGTTCTATTGCTGCCTGATCTGGCAACTCTAAGGCTGCTGCCAAGAGAAACACCTGATGTAAGAGAAAAACACAGATGCTCCAAAATATGGCGCATGTCAGACAGGTATGAATTACTAATGCTGAGGGGCTCAGTTAAAAGATGTTCATTATCATCGCATTTCCAACTTTGCTCGGCGTCTCTGTGATCGTCTTCGGCGAACGCGACGATCACGCCACGAGTGTTGTGTGTGTACATGTCTGTGACGCAGCGAGCGCTGTGTCATTAATCTCCGTGTAATCGCTACGTTCGTGTCCCTGTGGGGGTTGCTCTCTCCTCTAATCCATCTCTTTATCCCTGCGCCTTTCTCATTACATCACTCCGACCTTTGCACTCTGTCGGCACCAACAGCTGGCCGAGGCTGTTAAACAACAAGCGGCGCACGCGGTCAGGCAACGCATTCCACGCCGGTTGGGAAATCAGAGACTCGGAAAAGTATGGAATCACACACGGAAGCCCGTATGATGCTGTGGTTTCACTCGAGAAGCGTGAAAGCTTCTCTATAAATACGGAGGTGTGAAAGATGAACGCATCGAGCTCTACTTTCAGGCACGCAGCGCAGTAGCGAGCCTTTATACCGATCACTGGAAATACCACAAGAATTTTGTAGCTAAAAAAGTGCATTTATTCAAGATTTTTGTATTCGGCTGAGTGTGCACATCCTGTGGTCAACCAGGATGTTTACTTGTTCCACTGGAGCGAGCTGAGTGTTGACTGAGCTGCTCTATTCATCCAATCAATACACCTAGATCTGATCATTTATTGCTCTCTCTTTGTC